AAACCTATAACAAGACATTTGAAATTGATCCAATCAATAGAAATCTGAGACCTGTTGGGTAAAGCATGTATGATTATGGATGGACAATAGAGTTATTGTATTGAATAGTGATAAGAATAAACGTTCATATATCTTATATGTGCTTTGTGTAATAGGTCCCTGGTATAAATTTGTAAATATCTATTTAGATATAATAAAGTAAAATTCAATTTTACTCCGATTGTAACTTTCAAAGTTTAAACAAAGATTTTTTATTTTTTTCTAAAAATGAGAAATCTGTTTATTTGAAAACACCAAATGCAATTATATGAACTTATAAGTAACAAAGATTTTGTAACGGAATTTCATTTAGGTTTTTCAAATAAATAGTATTTATTTTTATGTGACATTTTAGATAAGAACTGCTTATTACTGAGCGATATTTCGTCTAGGCTTCTCTTGTCGCTAGTCTTGATCAAGCAATGATAAATTATGAAATGTGTTTGGAGAATATATAAAGACTACAGGCCCATCGCTCAGTATTAAACAGTAATTGTATTTCATAGAATTGTGACCTGTGTATTTTCAATTCAATTACTAAATGTCATTGAAAGAATTTAACATATGGCTACTATAACTCGACTTAATCTATTCTAAATATTCAGATTATCTTTAAGAATTTTACTATTTTTAGTCATGGGTTTTACCAGAAATCTCAACTTACATTGTGGCAGTTTATTGTCTTTTCTTATTCGAATATTTAATTTCTGCAGCCCAAATCAGGCAAACTTGTATATAATGATACAAAGCAGTTTAAACGCATTTAAGGATAAACAAACCACAAACATTTCTTTGTATGTATTCTGGGGTCACATTCACAAAGACTAAAATAATTTAAGAATGCAGCCCATTCATTGGCCAAGAGCTTGTTCAAGGATTTTAACTTTCAACCAATGAAATAACTGTATCCTTAAAATATTCCAATGTAAGTTTTCGTGAATATGGCTCTAGGTGATTGTATATTTGATGTATTTGTTTCTATTTCTGAGTGTCAGGCCAGTAAATTTATTAAGATGGGTAAATACTGAAAATTAGTCAAATCTTATCGGCCGGTACAGCATGTATTGTGGATTTTGCTTGTTAAATTATTTATGTGTATAGTCAATGACCGAGGAAGAAGTTGTTTGTGCCAAATGAAATTTAAATTGTATATTGATTATATTGAACAGTTGTTGTATACCACACATTTTAGCACTTTATAAAATTAACAATTTTAAGGCTTCTCATATTTAGGTGTAACTGAGTAACGTTAACTTCTAACCAGGGCTCTGGTTTCAGTCATATCTGCCAGTTTTAATTGACTAGCTTGTGATCAACTTAAATGACTAGCTGGGAAACTTAGCTGGCGATCAACTGGAATGCCAAAAAGTTTGAATTTCAAAGAATTAATCCTTAAAACACCATAAATACAGTTAAATGTATCTTTTTTATACGCCCACATTGAAATGTGGTTGTGGATTAAGAACTATAGAGGCCCTAAACACTTGCAAGATTTTGGTGCTCCAGCATAGTATGCAATTCAAAATGTAAAAAATAATAAACCATAAACCATCAAGCACCGGGTTACAGTTTTTCTGAAGCTATTTAATTTCTTAATAAAAATCTTGAATTTTATGTTGATGAACAATTCAAATTAGTATTTATTAAATTAGTTTTCACACGATTTTCTACAGGCCTTTGATCAAAACATAGTTCCATTATCCATTAGGGAATAGGACCTAATTAGTACATCAGCAATATCCCCTTCCATATCTCTCATGCTGCTCTGGTGGTTTACTACCTCTGCTGCTTTTGTGGATTTCAGCCTACAGAATTTGGGGCATACATCAATATATTCCGATATATAAATTCACATAGTTACCAATATTCGTAGCTTTGACCTTGTACAACAAGGAATCACTGTTGGGAAAAGTTAAGATATGAACCTAATCAAAACAGAAATCAGTGGCATCAATAATATTAAGCTGAACAAACCTAACATCTGGCAGTTTTATGGATGGTATTATCTCTCTCTCTCTCTCCCTCCCTCTCTCCCTCTCTCTCTCTCTCACATCTTCATTAGCCCAGTCGGTGAAGAAAAGTAGGATGGATGTTAAACCACATTTCATTTCATTTATTACTGGCTTGCCTAGAGAAACATCTGCTATAGAAGTATTCATATTATTATTGTTGCCAGGATGAGTTACAGGGGAATAGTAGGAATTATTTCTGTTATTGGCATCAATAACGTTTAGGTGAACAATTACATAGTCTGGTGGACAATATTATTTATTACTATCTAAAAGATGCATTATGTAAGATTTAGATTAGAGCTGGCCGATCTTGCTATTGAAAAATTACTTTATTCTGAGCGAAGTGTTGGATGATGTAGCATGATGTAGCGTAGATTGTAGATTATTTATTATTGTAGCAATGGTACTGAACAAAAGAGACAAAGTCTTGATTATTCATTTTATCGTTAAATTTTTAAATCTCGAGGGCATTTCAATCTATTTAAATCTCTGCCATCTGATGATCTAGAGAGTTGATTATGAGCTTGTCATGTTAATAAATGTCTAAATAATAATTTATATAACATTTGAAGCCAAAATAAAGACCTGCAATAAGCCGATTTACCTCTTACATAATGCATCTTTAAAAAACATCTCATCCTGTCCACTGCTAAGTTAATCAAGGAAACGTCCAAGATGAACTACAGAAGAATAGTAGGATTTCTTTTTGTTATGTTTTTGATGAATTTTTAGGGGTTCTTATTATAAAGTTAAAGAATTTTCTTTTTTCATTGTTAGAAATCAAATATTAATATTAGAGGCAATTGTTTATATTTCCCATGGTGTTTTAAAAATCATGTTTTCGATATTTGTTTTATGAATCGAAATGTGTGTAAAATATTTTTTACTTAAAAACATTTGTACAGTCTTGATTATTTAGTCTCTTATTAAAATGTTCATAATATATATTAAGAGTAGATTTGATCACCATGTAATGTAGTTCATATTTTTTTTTTTTTTGTGTATTATAAAATGAAATGTAAATTTGTACAGTAAATGAATAAGGATAATAAATGTATATTTCATTCTTCTATCCTGTTTTTTTCGCTTGTTCAATTGGGAAGTTCGATTTTAGAATGACAATTGGCGTTCAAGTTTTTGCAAGTTGTTATCATATAAACTTCTGAGATATTTAAGCAAATATGTTTTCTAATAATGTCCGAAGCAAGATGACTAATAAAATAAGACATTCCCCCCCCCCCCCCCTATTGCTTAACATCTGGAAATCTTCAGGTTAGCATGTGTGTGTTGCATCTTAAGGTCTGTCATTGAGTCAGCTGCCGTGGTTTCGATTCCCCAGTTGTATGTGACAAGGAGTAGGGTCACCTGTCCAACCTCGTGGGTTTTCTCCTGGTCCTCTAGTTTCCTCCCACTGCTAAAGACACCTACACATAAGTGAATTATTGAAATAAAATTGAATCGTGTTAGTCCCAAAATGACCTAGTTTGTGCCGAGTGGATGTTAAACGCCATTTCCCTCTCTCATTAGATCATAGTCGAGTAGTGTGCTAACTTTTATGGTGAAAGGCACAATATTTGCACACTTCGCCTGGACTAAATTAACGTTATGGAGACCCACAGTAAAGGACACAACCGTTTCACAGCTCATACCTGCCTCTCTGAAGTTAGCATGGTATCAAAATTGTTTGATCAGTTACCAATGTGTGTCAAATTCACCTTCCTAAGTGGGTAAGACGCTGGCTCGATAGCCTCACGGTCAGGTGTTCGAGCCCTGCATTGGCCAAGAAAGTTTATTCAGCTCTCTAGTCATTCATATGGGATGAAAAACCAAGGTCCCGTACACACATTGGCGTTCACGTAAAAGATCCCTTGACATTTGGAATTCGATACAAGAGTAGGCCGTAGTAGGCAAAATTTTCCTCATAGCAAACTGTAATCATTAGCCCAGTTCAGAGTAGGACGTTAAACCTCATTTCATTTTCAACCACTTTAACAATAGATCAGCTATTATACAAGTTTGCACAGAAAGCTGGTGACTAACGAGACTTGTGCAAGGTTCAGCTAAAGTGTAACTGGCTTGGGAGAAAAAACACAAGTTTTTATGTCACTTGTACAGTCCACATTGAGGTGGAGTTCAGTCAGATCAATTTCCACTGTTAGCCCTCATCTATCCCAAGCAATCAGTTCCTACTTCGTGTTGGGTGGTTAAAAGAGGTAAGGATCAAGTATTGTCTATGGTGAGTGATCTTTGCAACATAAGTTTATTCTGATGATTTAACTATGTGCCTTTTTCCTACGAAAAGAATTTTAACTGGATGTCAATCCCTTTGACGGTATCCATAAAATATCCTCCGAAAATGGATGATTTGGCGGGTATTGACCTATTCAAGACGATAGATGTTGCCAATTGCATCCTGTCCTGACCCCAGAGACAATAAGGTATTTCATCAATGGAGTTCAGGAACAAACAATCCAGATATTGAATGGGAAGGCAGGTGTCTTTACCCCCCCCCCCCCTCCCCCAACTGGCCCCGATTTATATATAGAGAGACTGACCATCTGCGGCTATGGTCACCATTTTGTTACCCAGTCTGTATGTTTAATAAAGCAACTTTAGAACAATACAGATATAAGATCTTTTGACATCTATTTGAAACATGGGCGGGGTTTGGTTGTCCAAGTGGTCAAACGTGCTTGTTGTTTTAATCCCAACCTTGTACAAGGACATGGGTCACCTGTCTGACAACATGGGTTTTCTACAACCCCTACATGCCAGCTAATTAGTAAAATAGAAATATATATTAGTCCCAAAATAACATTGTTTAGGTTGAGTGGCTGTTTAATCCAATATTTCTCCATTTCAAACCTAGTGCTGAGTAAAGATTGAAGAATCTGAAGAATCTTTTCACAAAAATAAACATCTCCCCAACAAAAAACACAAAAGCAACAATACTTTATTTCATCATTTATTTGTGCAAGCTCATCACATCCACAGTTGATGGGCAAAAATTATTTGAGCACTTGACTCAAGTATCTGATATTTTAACACTTTATAATTCAATATACAGTTACATTACCAACTGACCTTCAAGTTTAATTAAGGGTCAAAGTTGAAAAGGTCACTATATAATTATTGGTTGGTATTCATGATACCAAGGTACATACGAGAGTTAGAACCATTGAAAATGATAACATTACGAATGGAAATTGAAACTTCAATCGCTCAATAATTTTCAAATCGACCACAGGAAAATTATTATTTTCAAGGTTGTGTTTCAAAGTTGAAGGTCAAATAAAGAGCAAAGGTCAGGGGGGTATAAATAATCCAACATACATTTTTTAATGCATAAACCTGAAATCATATTCACATTGATTTTCATGAGTAGTTATCAACAGAATCTAAAATATTTAACACGATTGGGCAACTACAGAAACTAGAAGCACAGAATTCTAACAAATCTTTTTTCTATTACTAATTATCCTGAACATTAAAGTTGCTTACTATGCTGGAGTTTCTGGACCTGCGATAAATTTGACCAGACTTTGAAACAATTTTCACCAATATTTGAGTTGTACAGAATAATCATTTGTATATATTTATATATATATTTACAATTCTGGTAAATTGAACATTTTCTGTCCACAATAGGTAATAATTACATTCTTGTGTTTAAAGTGTATGATGGTATTAAAATATTAAAGGGACATGGTGCTGAACAAAATTTTAAATACACTGAATTCAATACAAATGTGGTGGCATTTTGTTATTTATTTCAATCTGAAAGATCTTTTAAATAGATATCATATATGAAATTGTGAAATTTTTACCATGTTCAAATGCTTGAAATTAATAATTAGATTCATCAACATGTCCCTTTAACATTTGTCAACCTGTATGAAATTATCCTCTTACAAATTCTTCTCAATAAATTAAGCCACTCAAAAACGTTATCAATTTATTACACTGTATAACACAAATGTATACAAATGTATGAAAATGAAAAAAAGTTAGAAAATTTGTTCCTTTTAAAAACAAACCATATTAAAAGAAAGTTTATTCTATTTTCAGGACATTAGTGGAGTTCAGACCGATTGGCAGGGAGGAGGATTAGCCGGTTAGATAAGGTATTTAATGTTAGTAAGCAATTATCTGTCACAATGTTACTAACCAAATATCAGTCACGATGTTACAAACCAATTATCAGTCAGGCTATTACTAACCAATTATCAGTCAGGCTGTTACTAACCAATTATCAATCATGATGTGACAAACCAATTATCAGTCGCGCTGTAACTAACCAATTATTATTTAGGATGGTACTAACCAATTATCACTTAAATGTATTCATTGCGTTTTAATTCTTTGAAATATTTAATTATATCGCATGTATATTGTCTGACAGTTAAGGTTCTCCAATCGGTCAAGACTGTCAAATATGGTTGAAACAAGAACCCTGGTTAATGAGAGAGAGAGAGGGGGGGGGGGGTAACATCCACTAAACACAAACTAGGTCATTTCAGGACTAGCACATAGCTCAATTTCATTTCAATAACTCGCATGTGCATAGGTAGGTGTCTATGGGAGGAAATATGAGGACCAGGAGAAAACCCATGAGGTTGGACAGGCGACCCCCCCTCCGACGCGACTCCTTGTCTTATAAACCATTTGAGAGGAAGCAATGGCTATTTCTTTCAAATATTAATAGATTTGAGATTTTATTGGCCAAAAAGAAACAAAGAGTCTAAACTATCAATATAATGACCATGAGAAGGGGAGGAAATTCCATTATGTTGACTATTTCACTTCAAACCTATTTAAATATTCGTAATATACAAATAAAGAGCAACCTTATTCTTATTTCAAATATTTCAGTATATGACATCATTGATAGATAATCGTCACACACACATGCACACACATTGGAGACGCACATACATTTAATGACAATAACACATAGCACATACATTTGACGCAGATACACCCTTCCACACATTCGACTTAAAGCAATACAACAAAACTAGAACCAGAACAATACATGAAAAGAAAAACAAAATATCGTAAATTAATTTTTCAAAAATAAACAATTTGGATCGGACAAATCACAAATATAAACCAAATAAAACACATGATGACCTTGATATATCTTTTTTTTTAAATATGGAATCTCTCGGTAATTAACACTTAAAGTTAGTCCAGATCTACCAGTACTGGTAATAGAAATACAGACTACCTACAGTGCAAACTGTTCTATAAATAATAACACATCTTAATGATTTTTTAATCTCAATGTTTTTCTTAATATTTTTAACCAATTTTATATATAATAACATTTTTTCACAGGATACAATATTTATTTTATTTTTCATGGTCAAAAAACATATGCTGTCTCATAAAAATAATTGATCTTTTTATATTGGGTAATGTTAAGTTACCTCCCTTTCCAAGTCACTTCACGAAAATTACATTTAAATAGCATTTCATTCTGAAGTTGCAGAAATCAGAAAGTGATAATGAAAATGCTTTGACAGCACCACCTTAATTGACACTATTACTTAGTCATAAGTTAAATAGTAAGTTATATTCAAATTTTTAAAGAATATAATTTGATTTATTTTTTTCTCCATTTTTATAAGACAGCGAATAGAAATCTTGATTTTTTTTTCTTATCTCTGAATATTCATGAATCTGAAAATAGAAAGATAAAAAATAATAAATGTCTGAATTACAAAATGTAGAAGCCTGAAAATTTTGTAAGTTCAGTCAAGATTTTGTAATTTGGAGAATATTCTGAATAAGAATGGACAAAGACTGGCTCAAAAGAGCTTGGATATGGTTAACGTCTAGTGAAAAGTAATGAAATTTTAAGTCTATCCCTCTCTTCTTGTTGCTACGACAACAGGAATATACTTTTGAATTTTGATACAGTAATTGTATATTATAACCTATTGTGACACAAGCCGTTGATCTTGTATGGTTTCAGTTTTGTTGTTTAAGTTATATCTTGCAGCCACGGTGGCTCAGTGAGCAACAAACAGATGCTGGCCAAAAAAGTTCTTCAGGATTTTCCACCCTCGTCATTGGAACAGTTGGTGCCGAAAAATAGCACATAAAACACCATTCCATATCTGACCCTGAGTTCACAAAGCATTCTCAGACTTCAGTTAAGAATTTATTCAACTTTCAATCACTGTTTATGAGATATATCTTTAATCCAGAAACACAAAACTATGCACATAGTTTCTTATTGATGTATATCATTGGTGAAGTGTCAAAAGGGTGTACCTAAGAATTTCTAAAGATTAAGAAATAGAACCTTTTGCATTTCAAAATTTCCACAAATCAAGATGCAACATTTGGACACATGATACCCAGAACATTTCTAATTGGCGTAGAGATAGACAGCTTTGGCAGAAATGTGCATATTAATTGGGAGATTTTAAAAATGCAAAAAAGTATATTTGACTAATTACCCCCCCCCCCCCCCCCCCGAGATACACCCTTTTGACACTTCACCGACGTTATGCTACATTAAACAACTAAAAGTGAACGATTTTGAGTAAATTCTTAATTCGAGTCTAAGAATGCTTTGTGAACTTGGAACCTGCATTGCTGTATTAGTTTGATAACTTTGAGTGGATACTCTTTGAAACGTTGCCTAAATATAGGATGCATTTTGTTTACTAATTGCCACTAACAGATTAATAATATTTACCTTATGTTGTTGTGTAGAGATCTGGAAAATTAATCTATTCCACACACAATCTAAGACTGGATATCAGAGAGTCTTGTTTTCCTCGTACTGTAAATTATTCTAAATATATTTGACATAGAAGCTCACACAATATTTAGTTGTTAATAATTGTACAATAATATGAAGAAAAAAAATGATTGTTGCTAATTCATTTTGGTAGTATGACCTATTTGGCTAAACAGTTATAATACTTGGGCCTATTTTTCGAAAAAAAAATAAAACCACCAAGTGATCCGATATTACGACAGCTCTGGGGATAAAAAAATCAAATTAACTGCCATATACATGCTAAGTATTAAGATTTCGATTTTGTACGCTTTAACATTTTTTTCGTATTCATTTTGTCAGGTAAGCATTGAACTCTAGGTATTTCTCCTGTTCTGCGTGGTTGAGATTCAAATTTTGTATACCTTAACACAATGAACTGAAAAATATTCTTCATGTTCTGTTTGCTCAAGATTCAAATTTTGTAGCTGTAAGATTCCGTTTGTAGAGCTCCAAACCTTTTTCAGGTTCTCTTTGATCAAGATTTTAATTTTGTATGCTTTTACACGCACGAAGTTCAAAATATTTTAAATTAAACAACCACCACTTTTATTCATTTTCCCATTAAAATGCAAATATCAAAAACTGTTACAAAAAGGAGGTAATTCTTATTCAGCATTTCATCAAAGATTTTATAAAATTATGTTTTCAATTTTTTACCCAGAAGAATTTAAATGCTGTATTTCTTGACAAAAATATATCGTATTAAAAGGAAAAATATTTTGTTTTACAAAAAACACATACAGTATGCCAAGCATGGTATAAACAAACAAAAAAATAATAAATAATTACCTTTTAAATTTTTACTTTTTTTGGACAAATAAAAAATAAAAATAAACAATTTTTTTTGGGGGGGTGAATATAATGAAAATAATTGCCCACATATACAATTTTAACACATTTACAATAACACAATTTATAACCAATAAAGAAAGACTTGCCTTCAGACAGATTTCATACAAACTGTATGAATATATGAAAAATAAAAATATTTTCCTAATATCTTGTTGTCCTAGCTATATGGTTTGTAGTTTGTCAATCTAGTCTTCTGCGATAGATCAACACCTAATTTAAAATGGCTAAAAATATCATTTCACAATTTTTTGAGAATATAGATTTTGCCCATGACTGACTTTTCCACTAGAACTAGAAGCTGCTGCATTTCTGTGCTTCTCTATTCCATGCAATTAGGTTTGTGATTATTGTAAAAGTTTACAGCATAAATCACAGACAAATTTTACTGCATGTAATAGATACAAGAATATTGAATCCAAGAATAACCAATGAAATCTGTTCAATATCAATTATCTTGTTGTTGTTAAAAAATGACAGCTTCCACCATCTGGACTTGTTTCTCTGTGGTGTTTTAATCTGTATATATATAGTATGGACGCCATCAAGCAACTTTTAGTGTAGTAGGATTTTAAACACCCATTACAGCTGCTATTAAATGGGATTTTCAGATCCTACTTTTCTGCATTGACTGGGCTAATAAAGAAGGGCATATGCCATCAGTGTTTTATCAAAGAAATTTTGCCCAGACACAGACACTAATGCCTACTCTTTATTTCAAATTCTATGTGTAAATGGGACCTCTGTTTTTCATGCCATCCGAACAACTAGACTATTCCTTGTTAGGTCCTCCGTTAAGCACCAGTGACAAAGGGGAAACAACACTGGAGAATCCCGAGGTAATTTCTCGTCCAACACCGGGAGCGAACCTGAGACCAGGTTAGCGAGCAAGTACCTTTCTCACTGAACCACCTCAGCTCATTTCCAGTTGGATGGACTATCAAATGAATAAAGTCAATGATTCTCAACCAGTGTGCTGCGGAATTTTGAACGGCACACTTAGAAAATGCGAAAAAACCACATGATCCCAAATGAGTCTTCACTGGTGTCTACCGATAAGTTCATGGCTGTGTTTTTCTATACTTAGTTCGAGTCATACTATGTGTCTATGACTAGTCTCTGCCGTTGTATACCGCCTGACTAGCCATGTTTTTATTTTGCAAATTTCAAATATTTTTCATATGTATTTAGCCAGGTGTGCCGCTATGTTTTCATGTGTTCCAAGGTGTGCTGTTGGCAAAAAAAAGTTGAGAACCACTGAATTAAGTCGTTATCATTATTATTATTCTAAAAGGGTGTGGCAGGCTTAATGTTGACATCACATAAGGAAAATATTTTTGATTCTCATAAATTACATGTATATCTGACTGAAGACAAGTTTCACTTTTTTCTCTCAAGTAACAAACAGTAATAACATACCATCCTACTTCTTAAATAAATCAAAATTTCTTCATCTTAAAAAATAAAAAGGAAAGAAAACTCAAATCTATAGATAACTAAGGATTGAAAACTTATTGACTTCTACAAGCCATTCAATTTGAGGTATTCTTATTTTCTTTATTTTTCAATTTATTTCAGTATTCCTTCCTCAGTTTTTAATATACTTCCATTGATTAGTTATAAAAACATTGGCCCACAGATTGTTTTAAATCTCATTACAATAAATCATAATTTAATAAATACAGTTTAAATGCATGTACATTACAAATCAATACAGTGGCTTATCAGATAGGTTGGAGAGAGAGAGAGAGGGGGAGAGAGATGGGGTTTAACATCCACTTGACACAAACTAGGTCATTTCAGGACTAACACATGGTTCAATTTTATTTTCTATAATTCGTTTGTGTGTAGGGGTCTTTAGCAGTGGGAGGAAACCAGAGGGCCCAGAGGAAAACCCATGAGGTTGGACAGGCAACTCTACTCCTTGTCACGTACAACCGGGGATTCGACAGATGGGTTGGTGATTTGGAGGCATTGCCATGTTGTATTGTGAGATATATTTCGGGGGATAGAAATTTCAGTAAGCCTGGACATCAGGCACCTGTCATAGACAAGTACAAATTTAATATCACACAACCACACAACATATACAGTATATTATAATATATAAGTTATGTGATAATATGTGTCTGACAATGTCTGATGAGTGCCTTATCTACAGGCTTGTTTATATACCTTATGTGATAATTTGTATTTGACAAAGTCTGTGACAGGTGCCTTAAGTCCAGACTTGGATTACACCATTCAAGGATTATAATGTCGGTGATCTGTAAGAACTGATTCTTAATTCTTACAATTAAAACTATAAATTTTGCAATTTCGTCTCTCTACATTCTAACCAACATTCTAATCCAACTTTCTCCCAACCCCTGGATACACACCACTGTCACTTAATTTCTTTTTGGACAAGGACCTACCGGTAATCAAAATTCAGATAGTATCAATTAACGGTTGAACAGGTGGACATCGTACGGTACATTCAACAATGTGAATTTCACATGAAACCAATCTTGTATAAAATTTTAAATTTAGTAAGAATCTAAAAGTCTTATTTATTAAATATACGGTATCATGTTTTCATAACTATCCAAGTTGTCTGATGTTAGGGAAGAGGAGAGGAAAAATATCTGTTCGTCGTATCACAGCTTGTTCAGTATACGTCCATAGCACCACCGCACCTCCATATATGGTATGGCGGATGCCAATTCTTCAGTTACGGGATAATGTATGTACGTAGTGAATGCGAAGAAAACATAATCATTGACCACAATATATATATAGATAGATTTGTATAATAAACGCAAAACAAAGGCACGGTCTGTAGCTGGACACTAACACAACGGTTGTGACTTAAATAAATTCTCAAGTTCACGCGAATGTTGGGATGTTAAAGTCGAAGGAGCTCAGTTTGACTTTGTGATTATGCGAAAAACAACATTTTCACACATTTTTGTACGATGACACAATTTAACATAACACATTTATACAATTTTTAATATTCTGCGAAATTATGATTTACTGCTGAATAATGATTTACTGCTGATCTGTTATTAAGCAATCTGCTTAATCTGCTGAAACACAGTAAACCATACTTCACAGGATGACAGGCTTTACCAACATTAAACAATGCTGGATTTAATTCTTTCTTTAAAATTTGCTGCAGAACTAGAAAAATGGCTGCTCACAATGTAACTCTCAGGATTTAATTCTTTCTTTTTATTTGCTGCAGAACTATAAAAATGGCTGCTCCCAATTCTTGTAATCCATTTATTTTAATTAATGATGGCGATATATCACATGTACAAAGACGACGCAACAATAAGCAATGATGTTGATTTAACAGCTTCATTCACGCAATGACATTACAAAAACTAATGTTTTATCTGAAATAGGATATATGGGAACAAATCTCTCTCTAAGTCAGTTATAACGTAATATGAATATCTCTCATCATTATAGTTTTATACAGTACCATGTAATCTGTTATGAAAATGAAAAAGGATGCATCTCTGGAGTCTTATTAAAACATAGCCGTGGATTAAAATTAATGCCCAATGATTTGAGTCGGGCGTCAAGACAATAACATAATTCTAATCTGAATATCACGTTTCCACACTCAGACATATTATTGATTATTCAAAGTAAAATAAAGATTCTCTCGAACTTGTCTTCGTATCCATTGGGTAATTTATTTAGTCAACTATAATTCTAATGCCCATATTAGAATAGAAATGGTTTACAAATTAATGTTCAATCTCTCGTCCTTATCACTTCCATCCAATCCATGATATTTACTTCTTTCTTTATCCAAAATCGATAAAATACAAGATATATCCCATTAATCGATTTTGAATACCTGCTGACCGACCGTAGATGTTTGTTAAATTGAAGCTAAAACAAAATACACAGATATATAAATATGGCTGCCATGGTAACTACGGAAACATGTTTATATCACTCACTTTCAGTCACACAGAAATATTCCATATAACATCCTCAACGGATTCAGTTTTCCATTTTAAACATGAATGAATTATCAAATTTAGTTTTTATCAATGTTCACACAGGAATTTATTATAATTCATAATGTATTTAAACATTAGCTAAAGTTTCAAGCTGTTCACACATATGTACGTTTTATATTTTCTTATAAATAAAATTCATTGTCGCATTTATGTCTTTTAATAACGCAACGAATAATGAAAAACAGACAACAAAAACAACATGACTGATATCCCTCTATCATTTGAATTAAATTAACAACTTGTTTTACTGACTTCCATAAGTTTGTACACACTCAGGGTCTGAAAAAAGACAAAGTAATAAAATATAGTACTATTGATCCTAAAGGGTAATCAAATTCGGAAACCATGAATACAAAATGAATCAGGGTATTAATAAATGAACTCTATGAAGATGATAGAAATGGGATTTAGCTTCCTACTTTTCTGCACCAAATTTATTAATAAAGACAAGTGGTCGTCATTCAGGGGCATTTCCTTATACTGGTAAACTCCAATCACTAGGGTTCTTTCAAGTCCACTGTACACAGGACCTCACTTTTCCATCTTGTCCAAATGACTAGACCACTAACAAGGGGGAAACCAGGATTGCTGTGGGGACCATCTGATTATTACATCACCAACTCTACATACATGTACAACTCTGGCTCCATCAGAGACATGTCAAAAGTGGTATACGATGTCCCAGACAAAGTAAGTGTACTAAAACCTGGCATTTCATGTCATATGACCCCGCCCCAACCCGTAACCAAGCAACATAGTATTTTCCATGACCATTTAACAGAATACTTAAATTTTTGTAACATAACTTCAGTAAATCTGTAATCAATACATGTTCAAACACACTTACTTTTAGACTTTAATTCCATAACTTTGTCCCAATCTGAAATGAGAAAATTAAAACCTTTATATTCAGACATTCAGTGGAATAATTACAACATCAAATTATTGATTATTATCTACCCATACAATCAATCTGATTAAAACACAGATCCTATTTCGTTCTTTTTTATAGTTCAAAATTTCGTTTTACTTGTCCTTAATACACCAGGATCTGGAAGAGTTGTTATCATTGACATGTTCTGGCTGATGTGAGGGTTTAGGCCATGAAATGGTCTGTTACGACGACTTCTTGGCATTTGATGCATGGAACTGTTGGTAAACCATTAGAAACATCAACGCTGATTGATTAATCAATGTCTGACGTCATAGGGTCAAAAGCCACTCGTATGACCCCTGAGGCGCCTCCCAGTACAACCGGTCAGATCTAAATGTAGTGTAGGCCATCGAAAGTATAAAAAAAAACGAAACGAAATATAGATCTGTACTTTAATCAGATTGCCATACAAACAAATGAAGGGAAATGAAATGAAATGAAATGTGAGGTTTAATTTCATACTTTTCTGCCCTGACAGTGGCACTACAGCCTATTATTATATCGAATTCTAACTGCCAAGGGTTCTATTATGTGTACGCCTATGTGTACACAGGACCTTGGGTTTTACGTCCCATCTGAATGACAGTTATCACCAAATGATCAAACCTTGACCGACACGCGAGGCTTTAATAATAATAATAATAATAAAAAAAATAAATAAAGCTGTAGCTAGTTTGAGACAGTTGTTTGAACAGTTCATCTGTGTTTCCTTCATATGCTGACATTTTCTACGGTTTGTTATATAACTTTTTGTGGTAAAATTTTGCTCTTCACAGTTTTACTATATTGAGCCGACCCCTGTCTTTGCAATGTCAGCATTTCCCCGAGTCAGTCACACTTTGTTTTTATTGACATATAACAGGATTGATCATTGTTTACAGATAAAGGTTTTTGAAAGCTCATGAAATGATTTTTCTTGTAATTTAGACAATATTAATAAAACTGTTCTGGTTAAAAAAAAGTTTGACGAAAACCTTCTCCCTCTCTGGATGTTGACATATTTATTTTTTAAGACGATGGCGTGATCGTTTGATACGTCCTGCATTAAGCTTATATAAGTAACAATGACAATATATTATAGACATTAGCATTGCCAAAAGGATGTCTGATAATTCAAATCATCTACTTGAATAATTATCTTTTTTTTTTTTACTCTTCACACGTACCATAGACGAATTTACATGCAATTAAAACGTCAAAACTAAGTTTTAAAATCCACAAATAGCTCAAATATGTTCGGATAGCACAGATGGATAGCCAAATACTAAAATTTGCCCAGAGTTTCATAACTACAAGTTAGAGCAGTTTTCAAAATAGAGCTACAGCACTCAATAGTATGAAAGATGACTTTACTGTATTTTTATTAGGGGAATCAAGTAGTCAGTGTTTACCCGCACCAGGTTCTAAAGGGTTTGAACTCTAGTTACAAGAAAATCCTTTTAAATACATGTAAATCTTCTTATTACTTATTATTAGAGTCATAGGTACAGTTAATAAAAATACTATCTCTTATCACTTGATATTGTAAACATAAGTGCATTTTCATTACCAATTTTAGGATTTGAGATTTGAAATACTGTATTGTAGACATTTGGGTTAGGGCGTGGAGGAATACAATAAGCTCTAGTTGGACATAATATATCATATTTTTTTACATATTCAAAGAACGAATCAGCATATTGATTGAATATTAAACCAGTTATTTCTCATCACTAGAGTGTGGGACACTGTTAAAAATTCACAGAGATACTAGACATAAAATGGCGTTTAAGGTCTTGGTGTTTTAACAATAATTATATTGTACAGCGCATCTGAACACGTTTTGTGGAAGATAGCACTCTATAAATGTTAATAATAATATAATAATAATAATTTTTCAACATCAATCTGGCTACAGTAATAAAGATGAGTAACCTACATGTACAATGTACGTGCCATGTCGTGTTTCAAGGGAAATTTTGTTCTAACAGTAGTGTATCTGTTTACCGTCCAAATGAACAGGCACAATTTCTTTGCCAGGCCCAAAAAATCCTGAGAAACTTTCTAAGCGAACATCAGGATTGAACCTGTGATCTCCTGAGCCAGCACCCTACTCACTGAGCCACAATGCCTCCAAGAGATTTTAGACAGGTGCTCTTGTATTGTATACATTGTATTGTATGTAATTATAAACTGTTCTAACAACTGATTAAATTGTGATAAATAATTCATTAAGAGATATTGAACAGGTCCATCATTTCTATGTGTTATTACAATACAAAGGTCAAGGAATATTGAATAGTTCTATTGAATATAATAGTCCTAGTTAACATAGTATTATAATACAAAGGTCACGAAATATAACTAAATAGTTCTATTGAATATAATAGTCCATTATTTATTTAAACAAAGGTCAAGAAATATTGAATAGTTCTATTGAATATAATAGTCCTAGTCTATATTATTACAATACATGTACAAAGGTCAAGAAATATTGAATAGATCTATCTATTGAACATTAATAGTTCATTATTTAAACAAAGGTCAAGAAATATATTGAATAGTTCTATTGAATATAATAGTCCTAGTCCATATTATTACAATACAAATGTCACGAAATATCTTGAATAGTTCTATTGAATATAAGAGTCCTAGTTTCCATATAAAGCTATCTTTAAAGGGCTTTTAGTGAAAGCTATATATAATAACAGACAGCTATGGGTAACATTCACTAGATTTATTAACTGACAACGTTTCAATGAGAGTAAACCTCACCTTATCAAGCAATACAAAGGTTACGTTTCGAGAAGAAGCCAATGTGAGGAGAAAAAGTTAAATAATAACAAACAATGTTAGTGAATGTCATATGGTGGAGATGTCTTTAAGAACTACCATCAGGGGCTACCATTTTATTGGTTTAAGCTGAATCAACTCACACATTGTTTATTTTCTTTCACCTCTCATCAATATTTACTCACGACATTCATCTCCATTCTACCTTCTAACCAGGATAGATTATACTAATTTAACGTTTCAATGTGAAGAAGGTCAGAAGAGATGGATTTTATTGTCCAATTAAATTAAATTCACTGATATCGATTGTGTATTTTTCGGACAATATCTGATTTCCCAAGATAAAACTGACTTTACACTATCCTCAAATTAAAAAAACAAAACAATGGTAGATAATCACATGGCTTGGATTCAATTGGTCAAAATGAGCCCCATCAAAAGATTTGACTAAAAAATTTATAGATTTCCTTAGCTTGTTTACATCATGTTTAGAGGATGCCGAATGTTGTATTATTTATCAATTGATCATATCTTTGCAAATACTGAACTAATCTGAACCATTTCAGATCGATATTCCATTTAATTATAGATTCAACTTTCCCACTATTGAGGTATGTAAGGGATTTGGTGGGGACATGACAGTTTGTAATATTGGAATGTACAATACTAACATGGGACACATTTCAATTGTTTTGGTTTTTTTCGTACAACCCACACCCAGCCATCAGAACCCTGTACACTTTACCACAAACAAATGACTACCTGTTCATTTGTTGTCAGTGACAACAGCCCAGCTAAATACTGACCAAATCGATATTTATTTCATGCTATTAACTGAATTATAAAAACACTTTGAGTAACATTCACCCTTGATTAATAATTTTCAAATTACATGTAAACGGAACTTAGTTCAAAATGAATTAAAATTAAAATGGCCACTGACCTCTCTTTAACTGTGACACGGCTTCATGATGGTTGAATTTTCCACAGTTATTAGTTGAGAGTAGAAAATGGATGAATTTATTACTATCACCACTGCTACTCATTCGGCCGTCTCGGTTCCTCAGTGCATCTCCATAATATATAACCATCTTATTGTCGTGGACAAGAATAGGAGCTTTGTCTAACACAGGGCTACCCATGGCTGTGTCGTCTGACATAGGTGTATTGACTACGGAGGTTGACGACGACTGGGCATAACCTTCTATTCGGTTTATTTGAACAAGGCCTTCTGCAGATCTAGCCTCGCTTGCTCTCTGAACTGGCAATGTTTGGGGATTATTTGGAATTCTTTGTACATTTTTTACAACACCATTTAACAAATTCACATGTTCTTTCAACGATTTGGCTGTTGTGTAATTGGGCACAATATGGCCGCTAGACTTATCGTTTGCAAGTAGTTTTTGTGTAAAAACGTGACCTGGCTGCAAGTTACCTGGATTAACCACATTATTCAACGGTTTCATAAAATTGAGACCACTGTTTTCATGATCGTTGACCTTCACAAATGAACGCGCATTGAACGTAACACCCTCGGTCCTAACATCAGATGTATTCACTTTTTCTGATTTATCACTCAAAAATTCTTTAACATCATCACCAATATCATCAAAACCAAAAGTGATGTCAATATTCGACGGAGAATCACGTTTTTTATCCAGGAAGACCACAGACTTATTTTTTCGACCGTTAAGAGGAATTTTCGGAACCGATTTGTTGTTTTTCAATGGTTTCACGTCCACCGAAGGGGTCGGCACTTTTTGAGATCTGGTGTCCTTAAAATTCCTATTAATCATTTTACTATTTGAAGTCACTTGGTTTACTGTCTGGTTCACGGAAATCTTTTTCGTCACAACACTGTTATTGTTTTCCTTATTAGAAGTTACTGACGAACTCACAACAGTTGACGACTGAGCTACAGAAAGAGGAAGAGAGGACATTTTGTCCTGGCTTACAAAGTCTAACTGCCTGATATCAAAGGGTTGAATGGGTGGTGGATCATTATTATTACAGTTTAGCTTAGATACCGAATCAGATTTGGTGCTAATTAATTGTTTATATTCTTGGCTTTTAAGTGTGATCATTAATTTCTCACTTGTAGAAGACGAATAGTCGCACGGTTTAACATCTTGTGAAAGTGAATCACATGTTGCCATGGTAGTTTTATCACTATCAGTAACAACAACAGGACTGTCAATGTTTGTCACAACATCCTCAACTTTTATATTGGCAGTTTCACTAGGTTTAGAATTGGCGTCTATTTTGAGAACTTCCTGGCTCCCACTTTTTTGGCGTGACTTTTCCGTCAAACCAGATCCACTATCCAGTTTATTGTCATCAGGACTTGATCCAATAGAATGGCGCCGTTCTGTCAAGCTGCCCTTCCACACGGTTTGCTTTGGTTTCTCAACAGATTCTTCCGAATAATCTTCCATGGAAGCATCCGGAGAGAACTGACCAATCGGTTTAGGGCCCGCAGCTATTTTTGCATAAGATTTCTGGAACCGTGAAGCAAGCATGTCAGCTTTTGCCGGTTGACCGGCGGGCAGTGATTTCACGGATGCTATGTCGCTATCGTCAATAGAACTAGTTTCACCGGTTAGGGGCAACTCACCAATGGAGCTACGACGCGGCTCCAGGGAGCCGGACTTTTCCTTAGTAACAGCTGTGTTACCAAGAGCTGGGAATGCGGAAAGACTGAAATCTTGGTTTTTGTCTCTAGATTTAATGGGAGGAGGTGTAACTGAGCGAGGCACGGGGGTTGAATAGTTATCACGAAACTTTGACTTAGTAACAGGAAATTCCCTTGAAATTCCTGCCATGAATGGAACCTGTTCTTTCCCATGGATTAAGGTTTTCTTTTTCTTTTTACCTACAACCGTAAACTCTGGTTCTACCTGTGCAACAGGTAAGTCAGTAAAAATATAATGAGCGTCTAATTCAGCTACGTCAATTTCACTTTTACATATTATTGGGGAGGTAGGATGGGTAGATTTGATATCATTGGGAGACTTGGTATGATTCAAAAGTTTCTTTTCATTACTGGTTGTTGTGTCCACATGTAACTTAGAGTTACCTTTCTTTTTATCATTAGTAATGCCCTCTGGAGAGGTTTTGGCAGTCGATGGAGACACCATCTTTTTATTAGTGTCCTTTCCTTTCTTTTCAATCTCTTTTGCGACGGGGGTAGTGTCGAAATGTTCCACTGTGTGATTGTAACCGTTAACTTTTGTTTCTTTTTTCACATTGTTGCCGTTTTTGGTACGTTTCTCACCCCCTTCCTCTTTCACAAGTTTAGTTTTACTTTTTGTCTCAGCACCTTGACCTTTATGCAAAAGGGATTTGTCGCCATCTTGAGATTTAGAAAGTTCGGTATCCTTTTTAGCCCTACCTTCCAGAATCTGGATATTTTCTTCTGTTACTTTTTCATTGGAATTTCCCATGTCCGAGGAGATGTTCGCTAATTCGTCCCCGTTACCTTCAATGTCAATCACAATATGATCGCCTGGTTTAGGCAGAGGCGGAAGGACAAACACTGTAGTCTTGGTTTTCTTGTCTTTACTTCTTTTTACTGTTTTTTCAACCTTAACATCCAAAGTACCATTCGTTTTTTTCAACTGATTTTCTTTAATGTCATTTTGTTCGATAAATTTGACTAGTTCTTCCAAATCTTTATCTCCGACGTAATTTTCCACATTTTCCGCCAAACAAACTTGTTCTACCTTCTTGAGTTTATTTTTCTTATTGCCGATTTTGTTTTTCGGTTCGGTATTGTGAGGTGAGCTTTGTTCCAGACCAGTGAATTGTGAAAGATGCAAGTCGCTGGTAGTAGAGCCATATCTATGGGAGGGGAATACAGAACTATTTAACGCGATTTCTTCTCGACTAACTGGACGTTCTCTCATCTGAGGGTAGCCTTTAGACACCGGATTACCGTTCTCGTCAATCTGTCCTCGACTATCTGTCTCATCTGAAAATACACAAAAAAAATACAGGATTTTAGCACAGAAAAACATTAAGAAGTCCATAAATAAACAAGAGAAAGAGAGAGAGAGAGAGAGAGAGAGATGGGGTTTAACATCCACTCGACACAAACTAGGTCATTTTAGAACTAACACATAGTTCAATAATTCGCTTGCGAGTAAGGGGTCTTTAGGAGTGGGAGGAAACCAAAAGACTCGGAGAAAACCCACAAGGTTGGACAGGCGACCCTACTCCTTGTTACGTAATACAACCGGGGTATCGAAACCACGCCAGTTCACTCAATGACAGACCCTATGATACAGCACGCACATGCTAACTAATCGGCCCATCCCTCCCCCCCCCTCACCCCAAATACATAAACAAGAGATTTGAAAATAATGGTAAATTTATACTTCCTGAGTAATAATAAAAACATCATGCTATCAATGAAGTATAACACTAGAAAATATACCTTTATTTTATCACAGATATAGATGTATAATGTGGATCTGATGATGTATATAATGTATAAGTTGTGATTTATTATTAGATGGTTTATATTTAAAGGAGCTAAATCGCTAACATTTGGGACCTAGAAATTGACAAAAGTCGGTCGCAACGCATATAATACTGTAATATGAATGTATATAAACTGATTTACATTCAATGGTTTCCGTTTTTACTCCAATTTCAAATCAGTTATGTTCGGCGAAATAAGTCAGCAGTCTCAAGCGATTGCAAATTTCTAGCGTCTGGTTATTCCAGTCTACATACGCCGTTTGATTTGGTGCAATGTGTCTAGCCTCGTCCCTCGAGTCTCTTGATACAACTGGGGCTGAAGCGCATTATGATACACGATTCGTGTACCAATGGTAAAATGTTTATTTTGTTTTAAATATTGGATATCAAAAGCCCATCTTTTTCCGTAAGATCACAACATGAATGTTGATTTAATTTGACAAATAAATCGTGTTTTCAATGTTGAAGATTTTGGATGATAATGAGTTAGAGACTTAGCTACTTTAAGTACCAAACAAACATTCTTTATCTTAACAAGGAAGTATAACACTAGAAAGTATACCTATATTTCAGCACAGATAGAGATATATATTGTATTAATTAATGTATTAGATAGGTATATAGGTATATATCCAAGTACCAGGTATTATATGCTATATTCAACAAACGTTCTGTATCTTATATAACACATGAGTGTAAATAAAGTCTTCAGTAGAGATATATAGATATATTGTAAAAACATGGTTTATTATATTATAATAGATGATATATATACTGGTACTGTGCTATATATAACTCGTGTTCTGTATCATATTAATGATGTCTATTTATATTTGGCATGTTAAAGTTAGGTACAACATTGTCAATAATGACTAATTCCCATGCTCTTTGATCTGTCAATTAAATATATTAGAGGTTGTTAGAATAGAAGTATATTTAACTAATTAACATTTCAACAGCGGTCATGGTTACGATCCCCAGGTGTGAGTTTATGTGGCTCTCAGATAAGGACGCCTTCTCAACCTTGTCTGCGATATCACGATCGATGGACGTTAAACAGTAACAGAAGAAGATTTGAACAGCAATTATTTTTGGGGGGAGGGAGGGGTTGAAAACATGTCGTTTTTCACTCCTGTTTTCTTCATAAAAAAGAAAGTAGGAAACTTTAAATACAACTAATCTACATGTATATAAAAAAATATATAAACAAAATTTCAAGTGTCACAAATCGTAAATCATTAACAATCTCTGTCCAATACAATCTATATCAACTCGTCAAAAGATATTTACAATACCAGTATCTACATCTTCATCTTAAAAACCCAACAAATCTTGTAAATTAGTCTTCTTAATCTGTACTTTAGGTTAAAACAAAAGACACATAACCTTCTAAACAAAGTCTATTTCCTTTAATTCAAATCTTTTTATACATACATTACGTCCTTGTTTTATAAAGCAAGTCTCGGACAGACAGGTCCGACTGGTCAACTTGACATCACTAGTTATCCATCCTTTCAGCATGCCGTCGCGTCCCCGTTTATTTTTACAACAAAGTCGTTTATTTACATTCAAACCACTATAATGTCTGAAACTAGAACAGTATATTGACAGTTGTTGTTGGGAAGTCTTGTATCTCTGGCGGCAAATTATTACAACACAGTGAACAAAAGTCTTAGAGAAAACTGCAACAGACATAAAGAGGAAAGTCTGAGCTTGACAATTTTATCTTAATCTTTAAAATATTTCACACGAAGAAGAAAGGCAACTCAATGCGTCAGAAATCGGTAATCTTCAGTAAAAACTTTTTATCAACTCATTTGTTAAGATAAAATAAAAAGAAATAAAAAAAGAAAGAAACAGAGTTATATGCCTTATTCTTCAGCACAAACCAAGTTAATAAAGATGAAAATACGCCATGCAGTGTGCTCGAGTGAAACTTTGCTAGCTGGTGCAAACAGCAAGACATTTAGCCCAATTTCAGTCATGCCTCTAAATTTAAGTAGGTTTATAAATCTTCAAAGATAATGTTACATATATATAATATTCTGACCCGACATATGTAAACAAGAATAAAGTAAGTATGAATATTGAGTAGGGCGTGATCAAGCTATTTGATACAACCAGCTTGCAGTGAGCCAGTAATCTCTCCTATAACATGATATAATGACGTGTCTAAACTTAGATCACATGTCGTCTAAACTTAGATCACATGTCGTCGTGTAGGGACAGTTCCTCGAATTCTTTTAAAATATTGTCACAGATTTTAACATGGTCATACAAATAAATATTGGATCTCATGAAATATGACGTATGAAGAATAATCCATTAAATATGTCATACAGTAACTGAGTAAGCTATTTCGTAACATGTGTTAGCTTATGATACAGTAATGGTCTTTAAAGTGCCAATATGAACATGATTAATCGTCTTTAGTCATTGAATAAGAATTTTATCCTTCTTTTAGTTGAATATGTATATTTTTGAAATTTTAACAGTTTAAGCTCTGGTGCTTTCCATATTCTTTTTGAACAATGGCCATTGTTCATCTCTCTATGAATAACGTCACTTACTTACTGTAAACAAACGTTATTTTGTTTAAACAACTACTTTAAGATTCAGAGTTTTCAAACACAGTTTCTGAGAACTGTGGAGGTAGGTAAACCTACTCCGTGTCATGTACAGCCGGGGAATTAAAACCACGCCAGATGACTTAATGACAGACCTTATGATACAGCGCGCTTGTAGGATTCAATAATATACATGTGGTATGTTTTAACACTATGTAAAGATTGGACATAGGTTTACATAAATTAATAAGAATATTGCTACTTTCAGTTTATAGATTACATAAACTTGGAAACTATACAACTGTGAAAAGAAATGGAATGGGGTTTAACGTCCTAATGCTTTGCTCCAACTGGGCTAATGAAGAAGGCATACGCCATAGATTGTTTTATGAGGGAAATTTTGTCCGAACAATGGCTACACGGCCGACTTTTATATTGAATATCAACTGTCAGGGCTTCTTTTTTTTCAGGACCTTGGTTTATCATTCCATCCTAAGGACTACACATGGTCCCTTGCCAGGCCTTCCGTCCTGTACAATGACAATAGCGAACCTCCAGGTTAACAAGCTATTATGTCTTACTCACTGAGATACTTTGGCCCTCAACTGTTAAAAAGACAGCTTTGACAACAAAAACTTTCAGATAATTCCAATACTCAAATCTATCCAATACCCAAATCTATCCAATATGTATTTGAAACTATAAATAATATAGAGTTTCAAATATCTATAATATCAACGAAAACCATATTGCTTTAAGACACTTACCATGAAACCTGTCTTCTCAAATATCTAATAACAACAGTGTAGGAATACAACTCAATATGGTGTCAAATTTACATTAATAAATCTCTGTCAACAAGAACAATCAATCCATTCATATAAATCCAAATTATACAATTCTGTACATAGCTGTCTGAACAGCAATCATTACATTATATAATATTACATAAAGAACTTCTCTCCCTTGTCAAGATTACTCCCCAACCTTCTTACAGAAAAAACTGTCATGTCCTTGATGAACTTTAACCTTTTGACCCCTGCACCATGTGTTAAAGGTAAAGGATCATATTAGTCATGATTATATCAGATCTGTGATCTCAGACTTGAGTGATCACATGACTATCTTTTAGAAGAAGATATGTCTTTATTTATGACAAAATAGAATTATAGAAAGAACTTGAGCATAGTTATGAAATAGACCTTATCAATTCACAAAATGTTTAGTCAACCTACATGTACCCTATACATTCACAAAATGTTTAGTCATCGTGACAATTTTAGGCTTGTAAACAATTCAAGATGAACAGAAATTTCAGCCGACAAAGAAACAAAATCTAACATAAACTTATCACTTAGGTACAAATTGGTACTATCGTACTACTGTACCATTATACTGATACTTAAGTTTTACATACAATTATTACTTGACTTGATGAAATGAAATGGGGTTTAACGTCCTACTGTTTTGCTCCGAACTGAGCTAATGAAGACGGGCATACGCCATACAGTGTGCTATGAGGGAAATTTTGCCTACTCTTATATCGAATTCCAACTGTCAAGGGATCTTTTACGTGCACGCCAATGTGTACACGGGACCTTGGTTTTTTGTCTCATCCAAATGACTAGACAGCTGTCCTTGTCAGGCCCTCCTTCCTGCAACACTGACAAGGGGGAACCATGCCAGAAAATCTGGGTGAACTTTCTCGGCTAATGCAGTGATCGAACACCCGACCTCCAGGCTAGCGAGCCAGCGTCTTACTCACTTAGCCACCGTGATCCCCGTGACTTGATGAAATTTGATGTAAATGTAATTGGTTTCAATCAATTGACTCTTAAGTCATGTTTGATATTTATTAAGAAATAACTACAATTCATAATAAAAAATATATGGGTATGTTGGAAGAATCGAAAGGAATACG